TGAAAATCCCTGAATTGATGGAGCTACCAGACGAAATCAATTGTGAATGAAGCTCAGCACGATCAACGGTGAGGAGAGAGAGAGAATGAACAGAATAAAGGAAGAAACGTGTTTTTCTTCATTTTACGTTTTATCAAACTTTGTCTTCTTGTCAAGTTCATCCTCCAAGTTTTGATCTGATGAATATGGTCCTTCAGCTTCAATTTTATCTGAACTGGTAAAACATGTCTATTCTGAAAATATCACAGTTGCAGTGGAAAATGAATCTGCAGCCGCAACATTGAAAGTGGAAGTGGAAGGAAAGAAAGAGGATCTTGCCCATAGGTTTGATGCACACAATATTTCCATCACTAGGGGTTCGTGCAAAGTGTTAAGAGTCCCATAGACCACAGTCAGACAACAAGAATCATAGTTCGGATAATGTGATGTTGCTAAGTGGAAAAGAGACGAGGGGACCTGCAAATGAGGACTGTGTTGGAACATATGCCGGAAAAAGAGCCTGAAATCTCTGTGAGATGAAACGCTGCACATTCAACAAGACTGTCCTCCGAGGAAAATTACATGGTTCTAAACCATAATCACATGGAGCATCTTGAGGAAGATAAAAAGGATCTACCTGCAGAAACTTATTTTGGGTGTGCTCGCGCTTGGCCTTGGGAGATAATATATTATAGAAGACTGAAGAAGGGCGCAATTTCAGCTGAGAACTATGCTCGGAGAATGGCACAGAATAAGGAGTTCTGTATAGTTGATAATTACATTCGAGGCAGTAGTGGATGGGAAGAATTAGATAAAAACTATCCTTGAGCAGTTTTTCCATTGACTACTACAATATGTCTATGTTTCGCAACAGTTTTGAACCTGTATGATTGTCCCTGTTACTTGCAAAATTCTCGAGACAGCCAGGTAATGAAGCCTCGATGAAATACTTGCTATATAATTTTTTATTTATTTATTTTTTTCTTTTATATATTTTGCTAATTTTATGATCTCTTAGCCATCCATATCTGGTCAAGAATATACAGACACAATGCTAAAGCCTTCCAACTTTCTTACTGCCTTCAAGTGGCAATATATTCTCTGGAAACGCATCTTCCAGAATAAAAATATAGACATTATTGAATCTGAACATTACATTTTAAGAAACTTTTCTTTTAAACACTTTTGAATTGAGTTTCGGAGAGCCTTTCTTTGTTAACCCAACGCTCTCTAAAACACGTTTCGTTTTGTGGGTCCAATACCTAGTTGACACTACGAAGTGTCATCTTAAACTTTTTACACATTTGAAGCTGTCGACAGAATTATTTATTTCTTGGTAAACTGCTAGGGAGAAAAATATACAAATATGCCCCTGTCAATGAGTTTCGTTTATTTTTTTGTAATTATAATTGCAACATATATTCCCACCAAAATATAAAAAAACTACTTCTTAGAGATCTCCAAGCAGGGGCGGACCCACGAAGGGCCTAGCGGGGGCGGCCGCCCCCACTGAAAAAAAA